ATCCGTTTGAAATGCTCAGGTATTTAGTGTAACACTCAATGGTATATCCTTATCATCTCTCAAATAGTGTTTACACTATTATTGGCCAAGTTTGTTTGAAATAAAATCTTTCCCCTCTATTTGAGTCCAGAGACAGTTTAACTAATCTCGTTTTCTCGGTCCATAGTTAGAGTTACAGACCCTTTTTTTTAGTCTGCTAAGATTTATGGCCCGTGCGCCTTGCAGGGCGGAAAAATCCCGGTCCGTAACTTAGCATTGTGCGGACCTCGAACTTGGCGGGGAAGAGGTTTAAATTTCCTTGGTACAGTGTTCACGTGCGCCTTTATTTGAGTGATTTATTGCGACGTAAGAGCTTCCACGAAAAATGTTTAACATTACAACGCACAAGTAGAAATAATCGACCTCCACCAGCCCGGAAGATTGTCATCGATACCTCCTCAGGTTTATCGTGAAAGGTAAACCCTGAAAGTGGTCAAGGCTATCGGTCTACATTTAACAATTAGATTAGAAACTAGTGTGACAATTGATACGGACGACACCCGAATCAACTGTTAGCGTAAAAATGAAAAGTGAACAATCTACTCGAATTAGTTTAAAAATCTATTAGACTGTTAGAGGCCATGAACGTGAAACCTCCCACCTTTTTTTGCCAAGTTTTCGCTGCCGTAGTTGTCCCAGATTGTTTAAGGTCGCTATTGTGAGTAAGAAAATGAAAGGAGAAGAGCAGCCTTTTTTTTTTTACAATCCACAGGTCAGACAAAACATTAGAGGATGTTATTCACAAGCTTATTCCTAAGTTGCAAGAAAGTAAGATATGACCATTAACCACTGTTAATACTTGTTGATATTTTCCAAATTGCGGAGTTCTTGTAACAAAGCTTTTGTTTTTTGATTAAACGAACTTGGGTTTAAAACTTCCTCCAACTGTGGCGGACACCGTCTTGTCATAAAATTTTAAAGAGAAATACATCCATCAGGCTTGGATGATTACGCCGCAAATGCAGAAGCCATTTATAAGAAACAAACTATACTGAAGTTTAATATGGCTTTTGCCCGGGAACTGCCTCCTTAAAATTAGAGACAATCGTAGTTCCGGTGAAGCATTGCTTTTCTGACTAGAGCTCAGTCTCAATGTGTTCGCGGCATTTCCTTCAAAAAAAGCCCACTCGAATGTTGACGGCTGGATCACTTGAAATGTATCGATTTCATTATCTGAGCAACTAACCCAGCAACAGTCAACTGATATTAAGTCAGGATCGACGTTGGG